GCTTTTTTTTTTTTTTTTAACTACCAAATGATTTGTCACATTTCTACCAGATGCATTTTTAAAAGGTATGTGTTGGGGCGGGAATTAAAAAAAAAATGTATGTGCTATGTTTTCTAAAACACATGCTTTTGTTTACTAAAGAAGAAAGGCTACAAAATAACATAAATTAGCAATCACTGATTTCTATTACTGCTTTTTTTGACTGACAACTTCAAATATAATAAAAAACATTTAATGTGCTTTAAATCCCCTAAATTTCCTGGAATGAGAAGCAAATCATGAAGATGGACAAATATTGTATGAAAGGCAAAGATGTATGCTTTGAACACAAACCCTTTACTTTCTATTTATTTGTTTGTTTGTTTTTTGTTTATTTATTTATTTACTTATTTGACAGAGAGAGAGAAAAGTAGGGACAGAGGAGAAAGAATCTTAACCCGGCTCCACACTCAGCTCAGTGTGGAGCACAACATGGGGCTCAATCCCATCCCACAACCCTGGGATCATGACCTGAGCTGAAATCAAGAGTTGGACACTCAACTGACTGAGCCACATGGCCAGGTGCCATGAACACTTTACTTTCTTAATTATGGCAACAACACTGGCATCTCCTAGCCACTGAAGCCAGTTCTTGACCAGAAGATATCCGCCCAGTAAGAAACAAAGATTACCCATAGCCTCTCCCCAAAAGCTTGATTCTTGGTAGTGACTTAGCAAGGCCAGGGAATCATGAAATGGTAATAGTAGCACTATGGAAGGACTCTACTTGCCAAAAACAGAAGACTCAAAAGACAAAAATAAAGATCTCTCAAGTATTTTCTTTGTTTTCATTTATTTTGGGGAAGGGAGGGAGGGAGAGAGAAAGACAGAGAGAGAGAAAGAGAAGAGAAGGGGCAGAGAGAGGGAGAGAATCCCAACAACAGAGCCTGACATGGGGCTCGATCCCACAAACCATGATCCTGACCTGATCCAAAATCAAGGATCAGACACTAACCGACTGAGCCACCCAGGCACCAAGTATTTTCTCCATTTTCGTTTTCAAAGTTGATGTAATGATCTGGTTTAGATGAAAAGACCTATTCAAATGTGACTCCTAGATCTGGCAATATTAAAGCAACTGCCTATACCTCTTGACTTCTATTTTCTGTACCAATGGCTTATTTCCCCCTTTCTTTCAAAATCTAATTTGGAATCCAGATACTTTATGCCACTCACATCAGTTAGATATGGAAATGGAAGACTTCTATTCATTCCCCTCTCCAGGATTCCTTGCTGAAATGCTTTTTGCCTTCCTTTGGCAAAGTGCAGGTGGACACTTCTTATAAATTTCAAATCCTATGGTGTTTGTTTCTTTTTTCCAAGAGTCTCTAATTATACTAAATATATTATGGATAGCTGAGAATTCTTTTGAATGTTACTATTCAATGTCCCCTCTCCCTTATGTTGTGCTGATTCTTAGGACAGGATAGAAGATATGGTTAACTACACAGAATTACTACCTTTTTCAAAAGCATAGAAATTCTGGTGCAGGATCTAGGACAGGTCTAAAAAACTAACTCTGGATTGTTACTCATAAATATTTATTCCTTCCTACAAACAGGCACTAGAAGAACTCTTCCACAAGTGCTTTCTTTTGTAATCCATGGTTGCTTGGACAGTTTGCCCCACTGCGCTGGCCTGGTTCTGCTGTCAGGTCATTAGTTTATCAGCATTGAATCGGGCCCCTCTCTACATCTGTAGACACGGCCTTCCTAGTAGACTACAGTACCATTTCCACTGTCAGAACATTTATCATCAACTCTGATGATGACAGAACTCCATAAATGAGGCAACCTCACAGTTTACTTTTTGGCTTTTGGTTTTATGTGTTTAAAGCACAAGTTTGGTGGTTGTTGTGTTTTTTACATATTATAAACAATTACATCACCAGTTAATAAAATTAATAAAATGATTATTATTGGTTCTCCGGAGAGGCTGTAAAAGTACTAAGGATAAAGGACAACAAAAAAAATCATGTAAACTTGAAAGCAAATTATATTAATTTACTAGTAATCCTAAGATTTATTAGTTCCACAACAAAAATCAACATAATAATTTTGACTTTTTAAAAACTTGAAAGTGGTTAATTGAAGCTTCATGTTTCCTTTATATTAAATAGCACACAAGGTGTTAAATATATAACATCCTTTAAAAACATAACTTTATCTTGGCAAACAGAATATATGCAGTTCTTTATTTTGGCAAGTAAAAGACATGAGGTAAGAGTGACTGATTAGGTCTAGGCAATAACTTCACAGTTATTCCAAGTATTAACATCCATGGAATTTGGAGTCTCAGTTTAGTAAGTCTACATTAAAATTATGTGAGATGCTAAAATCTGCATATATTTGTAAAGATTTCACATAAAATGTCATTAGAAATCACAATGGAAAACCACAAAGACTTTCACATTTTTAGATACTTAAATCTATTACATCCCTAACTACAGCACAGTTTGTATAGCTTTTCCCACAGCTCCAACTTTTTACATGCGGATATTCCCAAAATCTCTATCTCCAGGAGCTCAGATCCTTCTCTTGAGCATCAGTGTTGTAATCTAATTGTCAAGGGGATATCTCTATGAGATCTGCACAGGTACCTTAAACTTGCTCTGTCCAAAATGGATCTCATTATCTTTCTCTTAAACTTGGCCTGTTCTCTGTTCCTTTGCTATAGCAATGGCCACATCACTTATCTAGACACCCAAGAAGTCCTGCTGGATTCCTGTCTGTACTCTACCCTAATCCTCCTCCCATATATGGTGGGTTACTAAGTATACAAATCCTATTCCCTAAACATCTACCAAGTCAAATGTCTTTCACTCACCCCCATAATTATTGCTTTATCTCAGACACCAATTAATTTTATCTGTATTATTACAACAGCTTTGTAACTAGTTTCCTTTTCTCAGTTTCACCTCATTTCAATCCATGCTCAACAATGCTGAGGAGTGACAAGACACAAGCCTCCTTTGCATAAGTTTCTTCAATTGCTTGGAGCAATAAGTTGTTTCAAGAGGCTTCATCACTGGTCACCTGCTTCCTTTCAAACCTAATCTCTAAATCCCTCTCACAGTGAAACAGCTTTTTTTTTTTTTTTTTTTTGCAAACACTGGCCTTCTGCCTGGAAGGCCATTCTTAATCAATTCACTTATTCATAAATAATTATTGTCAATTATGTGCTAGACACTAGGTAGAGCTTTGAAGATACAAAGATAAAAGACATGATCCACAAGTTCAGCCAAGATTTCCTAGTGAACTTTCCATTCTGCTTCCCTTGTCTCAGCTTCAAGATAGAAGACGTTTAAGATGTCCATGGAGACTCAAGATAAATTCCTAACTCTTCCTTTCAAAATGAGCTGATGATGAATGGATATGATGAATGACTGATGAATGGATAAAGAAGATGCATGGATTTAAATTTTAAACAACTTAAGAACAAAAGGAGAAGTTGTGGTACACACACACACACACACACACACACACACACACACACACACAATGGAATATTACTCAGCCATAGAAAAGAATAAAGTCTTGCTCTTTGCAATGATGTGGATGGAGCTAAAGACTATTATACTAAGTGAAATAAGTCAGTCAGAGAAGAAAAATACAATGATTTCACTCATATGTGGAATTTAAAAAACAGAACAAAAGATTATAGGGAGAGAGAGGCAAACCAAGAAACAGTCTTCACTATAAAGAACAAACAGAGGGGGAGTGGCTGGAGGGATGGATTAAATAGACGATGGGGATTAAGGAGGGCACTTGTGATGAACATCAGGTGTTGTATGTGTTAAATCACTAAATTGTACACCTGAAACTAATATTACACTGTCTGTTAGTTAAATGAATTTAAATACAAACTTTCAAAAAAGAAAAAAAAAAACCAGGGGCGCCTGGGTGGCTTAGTCGGTTAAGCGTCCGACTTTCGCTTAGGTCATGATCTCGCGGTTCGTGGGTTCGAGCCCCGCGTCGGGCTCTGTGCTGACTGCCAGCTCAGAGCCTGGAGCCTGTTTCAGTCTGTGACTCCCTCTCTCTCTGACCCTCCCCTGCTCACGCTGTCTCTCTCTCTCTCTCTCTCTCTCTCTCTCTCTCCTAGAAATAAATAAAACATTTAAAAAAACAAAAAACAGAAAACATTGTGTACCTCTCTGCCTCTATAGGACATATTCTTACAATGGAAACTACTGGATCAGAAGTATAAACTTTTAAAGGCTTTGGATACCCATAAGACAGTTTTCCAGAAAGTTTGTTCACATTCACATTTGTTTCTATATTAAATTCCTCAAGTCTATGCTTATCACTGGTTATTTTAAAAATTCATTTTCATGTAGAAAGGATATTTACAAGTATTTTTTCTGGCAGTTTAAGTTAGAGTGATTAATGTGCACAGATGGTAGAAGTAGTATTAATGCTTTAAAACTGTGTAGCTACATGGTCACATACTTGGTCTTATTTGGTTCTCACAATAACCTATGAAGTAGGTCCTGTTATCTCTGTTAAAGCTGGGGAAACAACTTTGCTAGTTAACACTGTAACAGCCCATTTATTAAAGCCCTTTTAGGAATTCTCACTGAAACCCTCAAGAATTTACTTAGAGAAAGCAGCAAAAGAGGGGCTGTTTCACTGTTTGTTCTTTTTTTCTAGATAGTGTGCACTTTGACAGGTAGCCCTTAATAAAAGGACCTATACCTACGTGTTTCAGCTGTGTCACTATCAAACTGTCTCATGTGGAAACTAATTCAAGTGGACCACAGAGTTGTAAGGAGCCTACATACATCACAGGCAGATTCTATAGCTGAGCCACAAGCTTCTTTTTCAGAAGAGTATGACACAGTCATTCATGTATAATGGTTACTCTTTTAACACGGTGTTGGGGTAGGGTGGGTGGAAGAGGTTGAGATGGGCAGCCAGAATAGCACATTAATTTTATTCTAGTTAAAAATGACAAATTCTTACCTTAACTATTAATCCTTTTGAGTCAACCAACCAGATCTTTTTCATGGCTTTCTCTTTTGGTAAACCTTCTTTTTCCATGGCCATAACAATCAGGTGTGCAATCCCTAAGGCGGCCTGAGAAGGAGGTTAATGAAGACAAACTTTAAAAAGTCATTCTACATAATAACTTACCAAGAGTTATGTTTCACTCCATTTTATCTTTACTACTAAGAAAGAACAAAATGGCTCTATTGACCTAAAAAGTTATACTCATTCATTTATACTGGTAGTAAAGTATTTTTGTCACATTTGGGTTAAGCTAAAGGACAACTGTTTACTCTTCTTATCACAACAGAACCACTATTATGTGGCTTGCTCTTTAGCCACAGATAAACCAGTGATATCCTTGATTGTCATCATCTTTAATCCTGTTAATGCAATTAAGATTTGCTCCAACAAGAAAATATTGACCTTAAAATAATGAACTGGTCAGCCTTGCTCATTGGACTGTATTGTTTATTGTTGGGCTCCAGATCCTCTAATTGAATTTGAAGAATGAAGCCTGGTCATTTGGATGGGAACTTGACCAATTAGGCAGTAGAATAAAACATATAAAATCTCTGTCCCCAAGCATTTATTTACTCCATTAATTTGGACAAAGAAAGTACTGTGAAATCTCTTGCAAGATTAAAGGAATCTACTTCTTTAGTATTTGATAAATTTTGGGATAATCAGTGAATGTCCGAAACCTTTTCACGGACAAACAAGTGCCAATTTTGAGTCATCCAACCATGAATACCTCTGCCCTGCTGAGTATCAAGAATTGAACTCTGCCATTCATCAAAATCCTTGGGAAATTCAAAGAATCTGAACTCAGAGAAGCTTACTAAAAGTAAGTACAGCATGTAACATCCACACAAATAAAAATTCGAATTTTAATAAGCTGTAATATAGTCTTGATTTTATTTTGATGTGAAAATGAATTTGTGATTTACATCAGAATACTTTGAAAGGTTTACATCTTTGCATGTAAGTTCTAGCTTTGTGTATTTTAAGAACAAATAAAATCAAAACCAACACAATATACACAATTTCTACCAATGTATCCTATTTATTCATAATCTTATTCAATTTGAAAATTTAAAGCTTCTTAAAATATATATAGCCACAGAGTGTCTCTCCATTCATTACATTCTATATTTCTAAACAATTTGGGCAGTTTTCTCACAAGAAGCTCAAACTCAATTGACATTTTAATTTCTATTGTTGGGGGTGAATAATTATCACTGGAGTCTAGTTTTCTTTTTTCAAATGATTAACTTATAGCAAAAGAGGACAGAAAACAGCCTGCTTTTGTCTTGCTGCCAACTCCTTCCAGCAATTGCAAATGTTTTCGTTCTCTGGTAACTTTTAGAGGTAAAAGTTATGATGTATGATGAGTCTCCAATTTTTTTTCTTAAAAACTTGTGAATAGTTATATATGTGTGCATTGACTTGTGAGTCAAATTAAGAAAACTCTCATATGTGAAACTGGAGTATACTAAATTCATCAGATAAAAAGCTTAAATGCTTAGAGGCTTTTCTACATAATCACACATTGGAAACTTTTCTGTTCCCACATGGCACCTTAACTATGTGAAACAGAAACCCATGGCACTATTTGATTATCTGACAAATTTAAGACTGAAAAATATTGCTATACCTCTTTACTAAAGTCTACTATGAAAAATTAAAATGCCTCAATACTTACTTTTGGAAATCTTTCAATAAAACCCATAGATGCAATCTACTAAAAATCTGAAAGAATACCCTGAACTTCAAATTAATGAATACGTAAGGTAAATTCCACTGATTGGTATAAAAGAACATAAGTATCATATAAGGCAGGTACCTCTCCAGCTCCTTGGAAGAGTATTGTTTGATCAGACAGTTTGTTCTTGGTTATTCGAAGAGCTGCAAGGATTCCTGCCACTGCGACAGATGCTGTTCCTGAAACAAGTAATACGTACCCTTGAGTGATCCTCCAACAGACCCTGCCAAACTCTAAGCCTCAAACCTTTATTCATCTTGAAATCATCAAACACCATGATAACTGGTACAAAAAAGGAACCTGCGGTTGTCTGTCCCCATGCTTATATAGGAGGTAAAATTCTCAGGCTGTTGTCCTCAATATTTTAAGATAGCAACTCACTACTATTCTTGAAAACTTTCCAAAAAGACTCTGTGACTTAATGTGGTGATGTAATGAATAAGAGCACAGCGTTTGGATTCTTAGGTGGAGTTCAGCTCAACCTGCTTACTAGCTGGATGAATTTAAATGTTTATTTATTTTTGAGAGACAGCATACACAAGCTAGGGAGGGGCAGAGAGAGAGGGGACAGAGAATCCAAAGTAGGCTCTTCACCTACAGGAGAGATCCTGATGCGGGGCTCGAACTCATGAACCACGAGATCATGACATGAGCCAAAGTCAGACGCTTAACCAACTGAGCCACTCCAGCTGAATGAATTTAAAGAAATTATTTTGTATATCAGTTTCCTCATCTGTAAGATAGTTGTACTGTGTGAGATAAAAGAGTACTATGTGCTATTAGATTCTTTCACCTAATTATTCTAGGGGCTTTGAAACCTATTACTAATCCCCTCTACACAAAGTGGGTGCACAATAAATGCTTCCTGATTATGGTATTGATGGTAATGATGTTTTACATACATTTGGAATTTAATCTTTTAATCTTCAATTTGAAAAACTGATAGTTAATAGCAATTAAAATCTGTTGTTATTGCATCCTTTAATTAGTGTAGCATTTATTTAGAATGAAGACTGAGTTTTCCTCATCATGCTTTACGGTCATAGAAACTTCAGAGTTTTAATTTTATTACTTTGACATATAAGCATTCACAGATCACAGAGTAGTTTTTGTGCTTTTAAACATAATTATATAGCTCAACTTCTTTATTGGTTCATGTCTGAAGTAAAACTTTGTACCCTCACACAGTAGTTTCCAGCTGTATTTACATTTTATCCCTCTAAATAATACTGTAATGGTTCCTAGATCACTCACCTGGGTAGTAAAGCTTAGTTAATTTTTAAACACCCATATTTACTTGACAAAAATTGACTGGAAGAGGGTTTATGAATGACACAATGATGACATGTTATATATGCCATGTGCCAAAGATGAATTAAGCTTTTTACCTTTAGAACATTTGTTCTGTTCAGTCTTTTGGTTGGTGGTTTCTTCCTTAAAGGATTTGGTAGTCATAAATAAGACCATGATAATTACTGAAGATGTGTGTCTCCTGCATGTTTTTTATTTAGAAACACAATCTGAATCATGAAAATAAAATACTAGCAGTTTTGAGCCACCATTAATAATAAAGTATGAACTATGGTAAGTCATACATTACACAAAGGCTACTCTTCTACAAATTATTTAAAATGAAAGCCCATGTTTTCTTTGGGGAAATATCAAGTAGTGGAATTATTGGGTTATAGGGTATTTATATTTTTAGTTTGGGGGACCCTCCATACTGTTTTCCACAATGGCTACAACAATTTGCATTCCCACCAACAGTGCACAAGGATTCCTTTTTCTTCACATACTTGCCAACACTTGATATTTGTGTTTTTGACTTTAGCTACTCTGATAGGTATAAGGTGTTATCTCATTGTGGTATTAATTTGCATTTCCCTGACGATGAGGGATATTGAGCATCTTTACATGTGTCTGTTGGCCAATTTAATCTCTTCTTTGGAAAAAAAAAAGTCTGTTCAGGATATTTTAATCACTTTTTAATCATATTATTTGTTTTTTGGTGTTGAGTTGTATAAATTCTTTACATACTTTGGATATTAACCTTGTATCAGATATGTCATTTGCAAATAAATGAAAACACTAATTCAAAAAGATATATGCACCCCTATGTTTACTGCAGCATTATTTACAATAACCAAGATATGGAATCAACCCAAGTGTCCGCTGATAGATGAATAAAGAAGATGTGTTACATACATGTATGTACACACACACACACACACACACACACAATGGAATATTACATAGTCATGATGAGATCTTACCATTTGCAATGACATGGACAACTTAGAGGATATTTCTAAGTGAAGAAAGTCAGACATAGAAAGACAAATACTTATGTGTGTAATCTAAAAGAAAATGAATAAACAAACAAAAATCAGGACTAGATCTATAAATACAAAGAATAAACAAACTAATGGCTGCCAGAAAAGGAAGATGGGCAAAACAGGTGAAGGGGAGTGGAAGATACAGGCTTCCAGTTATGGAATAAATTAGTCACAGGAGTAAAAAGCACAGCATAGGGAATATAATCAGTGGTATTAGTGTAATACTGTTATACGGTGACAGATGGTAGCTGCATTTGTGGGGAGCACAGCATAACATATAGAGTTGCTGAATCGCTATGTTGTATACCCGAAACTCATATAACATTGTGTGTCAACTATAATCAAATTTAAAAAAAGATAATGAGGGCCTGTGTAAAACAATCGCTGATCTATGTAGAAAAGACACCATAACAGAATTATAACAGGTTGTCTCTTACATCAAGACAGACTCACAAGAGCTATTAAATAGATGAAAAAAGAATATTAGACAGATACTGGTATCCCGGCACTGAACAAGAAGTCATTCACAAATAGTAGTTCAAACTACATCTATCTCAGGCTTTTTGAAGCTGGCCAGAAGTTTGGATTTCAGGGATTCTAAGCTTCCTTCCAACTCTAAGATTTTACAATTTTAAGGGTCTCTAAACTTTCTACCAGAACTACAAGATTTAACCAGTTGAAGAATCAAAGTTGAAGTATCATCAGCAATCACCATATCTGTATTATTGTTTTGATTTTTTTTTAATGTATTTATTTATTTTGAGAGAGACAGCCACAGCATGAGTGGGGGAGGGGCAGAGAGAGAGCCCGAAAGAGAGAATCCCAACAGACTCTACACTGTCAGCGCAGAGCCCCATGTGGGGCTCAAACTCAAAACCATGAGATCATGACCTGAGCTGAAACCAAGTGTCAGATGCTTAACTGATGGGGGCACTGGGTGCCCCTGTTTTGACTTTATTATTTTTTTTATTTTTTTATTACATTTCTTTATTTTTGAGAGGCAGAGAGAGATAGCGCATGAGAGGGGGAGGGGCAGAGAGAGAGGGAGACACAGAGTCCAAAGCAGGCTCCAGGCTCTGAGCTGTTAGCATAGAGCCAGATGCGGGGCTCAAACTCACAAACCATTAGATCATGACCTGAACTGAAGTCGGACACTCAAATGACTGAATCACCCAGGTACCCCTGATTTTAAAAACAACTGGCATTTAAGAACAGAGAATAAAATATTTCAAAAGATCCAAACTATAATATGACATTTTTATATGGTTATGCTGGATCATTCTGTATTAAAAGTCAAGACATTAGGAACACGGGGAAGGGAGGAAAAAAAAGGCAAGATATTTTAAGTTCATACAGACTACCTCAAATAAGATAAAATAAATCTCTGTCTACACTGGATGTCAGAGGCTTCTATTTAAATGTGTATTCTATGGGGCGCCTGGGTGGCTTAGCCGGTTAAGCGTCCGACTTTCGCTTAGGTCATGATCTCGAGGTTCGTGGGTTCGAGCCCTGCGTCAGGCTCTGTGCTGACTGCCAGCTCAGAGCCTGGAGCCTATTTCAGAGGCTCTATCTCCCTCTCTCTCTGACACTCCCGTGCTCACGCTGTCTCTCTCTCTCTCCTAGGAATAAATAAAAATATTTTTTAAAAAATGTCTATTCTATAACATTTCATGAGGACATAATAAAACATCAAAACTTCTCTTCATGGAATTAATAAGAATCACAAAGAGTTTTTTACTACAAAAAGGTTAATTTTAATTTGAACATGATTCTTGCACATGTTCTGGTCCTACTTCCTGGTACTACTTTGATTTAAATTTCACTACAGTCAAGGGAATTAATGTGGCAAGTGGATACTTCACAAAAATGTGAGTTTTCACAATAAATTATTCCAAAATAACTTTTGTTGTGAGATTGAAAACTGAAGTTTTTAGTAAAGCGCACAAAGACAGGCTGAAGTTTATTACTTCTAAAGAGTACTTAATATTTAATACTGACCAAAGAATGACTTCTACTAATGCAGTAATTTGTTAAATCTGACTAGAATTACTATATGAAACTAGCAAAGGTGACTAATATGTAATCAAATAATTATAATCCTCATGTGCTACTAAATAAATAGATCAGACAGAACTAGAAGCCAGGGAGGTGGGAGTAAATGTGTTGAAGCAAGGGCCAGAGCATTTAGAGGACATGCTACCTGAGCACAGTATCAAAGGATTAAGATGAGAGGTCCAGGGTCTCCCATAGGACAAGCATGCGCAAAGACATGGAGGCAAGGAAGACTGGTCAAATTGAGGGACTGAACATGTAATTCAGCTTTCCCTCTCCCCAGTGAACTCTACTAAAACAGCAGAGAAAAGATTAAGGAGAAAAAAAAAAGGTCAAGGAACCAGAAGAGGATAGCAGCAAAATTTTAGAAGCCAGAAGGCAGATGGGCAAATGACAAGAGACTTAGGAGATGTGGAAAAGCTGAATTGTTGACCGGCCATGGGGAATACTAAGAAGCTATTAGATTGATAAAGCAGAACTCTCAAAAGTCCTGGTTATAAGAGGGACCAAGAACTTCTGAAAGTGGGGATGAAGAAGAGGCTGAAAATAGGAGACAGCTCAAAAACCTGTTAAGAAGTAGTTATAACCTAGATCCATTTTCCTCACCTTTTAGCAGATGGCTGACCCTCCACACCCTGGAGATTTATTTAAAAACTAGAGGTTTATTTTATAGAATATAAAATTCTATCTATCTAGATTGTAAGATCTAGATTACTTATGTAAGTAAGGCATAACTGTAAAATATCAGGGATAATTGAGGGCAAGGGGTCTATACCTGAAAACAAGAAGAT